TGGCAAACCATTGTTCGGCAAAACAGCACCCCCCCCCCAAAGCCACCCTTTAATTATTTCTCTGGGTTCTATCACAGGAATCATAATTCAACATAAACAGTTTTTCAGACGCCCTTGAGTGGAACAAAAACTGAAGACAAGACCATAGCATTCATATGCTCACTTACTTTTGCTTGTGTTTATAAGTTTGTTTGCTGTTTGCTTTTTATTTGCTTTTGTTTATATCGATTATGAACACCTGCAATTGTTAAATTGTTCGCAACTCATTAAAAGCACATCAGAAAGACTCTGCCCCCATATCAACTACTGGGTCGGAAGGTCGTCTTTAGACGTCCCATCGCCTTACCTACTATCGAGTATGGCCCAATCGAATCCAACCATATCGCCTCTTCTGCGATATCGTCGTAACTCTTATCAGAATTGGTTCAAAAGCTGGTACATAGTATGGTTCAATTGGGTCCCGAATTAGTTGGGGACAGAGTTAAGGGTAATTACCCGCAGACACGAGTTTCCCTTGCAGGTTCGTCGCCACACATGTGCTTGAACCTGCTTCCGAAATGTTGGAGACGTTTAGGGTGAGCACTAATCATTTTTGAGAAAGTTGCAAACGCTCTTTTTGCAGATTTGAGGTCCGTTTCCATTCAGCAAAACAAAAGCTCCCGCTCTTTTTGCAGATTTGAGGTCCGTTTCCATTCAGCAAAACAAAAGCTCCCCCTGGGATCTGTTAAATAGTCATTGTTTTTCTGTGGCAGAACTGTCAAATGCATAGAGCTCTGCTCATAGACTATAACAGCAAGGAGAGAAATAAAGAATGAAGCCTGGGGCATGGTCAATCCCATCTGAGAGATGCGCCCCACATTCGACCTCCATTCAGAATCGTAGTCCCGTATTGAGTGCGTGTGTGGCCTATACAATGACTAGCTGCGGCCAGCTGATGTACAAGTCAGCGTTTTTATCTTCTATCCTCCTAGACGAGTCTGATACCAACTAACCGACCCCGGAGGAGTGGAGGACCTGGTTGGCCTAGGCGGATATCGATCCGGGGTTTGAACCCGTGAACGTGCGTGTGT